TGTAAGACTGGAACATCATGTGACAGAGATAGAGACCAGAGTGACACAGCTGTGAGCCAAAGCACACCAAGGACGACAGCTACCACTGGAAACTAGAAAGAGACAAGGAAGGGTCCTACCTAGACTCTCAGGTGCAATAGGGCCCTAGCAACACTTGATTTCAGCCCTTATTCTTTCAGTCCTTATTCTCTGTGAGAGAGTATATTGCTCTCATTTTAAGTCACTCAAATCACAGTAATTTGTTGTGGCAACTGTAGGAAACAGATACAGGGGCAAGAAGTAAGATATATAAAGAAAACTAAAAAGAATAAAATGAAGATCAAATGTGGCTGCTCATTGGGGTGAAGGGAAACAAGATGGATAATGACAGACAGGAGTGAGATGTCTCATGCACCTCTTCTATCATTTTCATTTTTGGAAATAATAATTATTAACAGACATAATAAACAGTAGTAGAGTGGAGAGGTATTACAACGATTCAGTGTAAAAAATTTTGGTATTTACCAGTTTTTACTGTCTTCCAGATCTAACTACTCAGAGCTTTAGGTGCTTCTCCCACCCTTTATAAAGCAAAATTCTAAAGCATTTTAAGGAAATCCCACCTGCTCATCTTCCCAACAGTCAAGTTGTTCTCCACTGTTCCGAAAATATGTCATGGTCACCTCCATGTTCAAATCACTGCTCATGTTTTTCTGTCTGAGAGTCTCTTTCCCTGACTTTCAGCAACCGTGTATTTAAATCATACACCAAAACTGGGCTCAGCTCTCACCTCTTATACGAAGCTCCATTTTACCACCAACTCTCAATGATAGTTATGTTTTCCAAATTCATCTTTAAAAAAATGCCTGTACCATGTGATAACAAGACTCGATTTATATACTGCCTATTGCTCTACATTTTGAAAATACCTTTTTATTTTGTGCTTTGAATTAATACAGATGAATGGCTTTCAGTGTGAAAATTTCTCTTGACTCCTCAATTTCATTAGACTGCAAATTCTTTGATGGGACAGACAAGGTTTTAGACAGCCAGCAGCATCCAGAGTGTCTGACATACTTCTCTATCCACTGTCTCCCTTGACCATCTTACCTCAGCCTGTAGTTTCACTTACCACCTCTACTAATAAACTTCCAAATTGGTCTTTCCAACCCCAATTTCTGAACCTTTTTTGTTTGTTTTCTGGCAGGGATCGAGCTCAGGAGTTTGTGAGGCAGGCACAGCGCCACTGAGCTAAATCCCTGGTCCCTGATTTCTGGACCCCATCTCTCATCACTCTTCCCTTTGGTTTGTTCCAACCACACTGGTCTTTCTATTCCAGGAGCACATTGAGCTTTTCCCCACCTTAGCATTCCTGTACTTTCTGAAATTCTCCTCTCCCAGATCTTCACACAGACAGGACCTTCTCACCAGTCAGACTTCAGCTCAAACTCAGGGAGGCTTTCCCAGGACTATTCCTAATGTAGCTTCTTTCTCCTTAGTCACTGTATTACAGTCCCTTCTTTTGTAATTGTCACAGCACTCCTCTCTAATCTGAAATTATTTTATATATTTACTTCGTCACTTTTTGCTCCCTCACTGGATTGTAGAGCCCCTGAGAGTACTTTACCATTCTTATTTATCACTTCAATCCCAGGACTACAATTGTGCCCTGGCACATGGTAGGTAGTCATAAATTAAGAGTCTGGTTGATTTGTTGAAAAACCAAACAATGGGAAAATTTAATAGTTAGCATTTTGTGAGTATTTATTATTCCATCAAATTCTCAGCCAGTCTCTGCGTTCTCTTGTGGCAGCAATAGTACACAGAGCACACAGTTGCTGAGATGGGTTCATAAATCTCTTTGGACATAAATCTCACCAAGGTTCCAAGGAGCATGTGTGACCAAATGCTCAGACCATTTGTAGTTCCAAATACAAACCCTGGGCATCCAATTCAGTGTGACATACTGAACATGTGTTTATCTTTACTTCTCTCCTGAAATGCCCCTGAAATGAGAATAGAGTAATTTTTAAAGGTACAAAGTCATGAAAACAAAAAGGATGAGAGAGGAGACAACAGTTTCTGAGACTTCAGAAACTTCTGGAAGATGGGAAGCAGATTGAGAAGCCAAGTGTGGTAATACATGCCTGTAATTCTAGTACTTGGGAGGTGGAGGCAAGAAGATCACAAGTTCAAGGCCAGCCTTGGCCTTGAACCCAAACCAGAGCCAAATAGAGGAACAGACTGAGGAGCTATGAGAATTGAGAAATGTGCATACCAAGTGCCTACTTGGGGATATTAGTGAAAGAAGAAGCCAAATTGTGCAGCTGAATCCCAGAATGTTTTGGGATTTGGAGGCACAAGATTGCGAATTAAAAAGGAGGGGCATGGAGCTTAAAACAGGGAAATTGGTTATAAATTTGGAAAATGAGCTTTTGGACCTCCCATCGGGTCACCATCCCTCATCTGAGCCGTTAGGGATGAAGGCTGAGCAAGCTGTTCCATATTGGAGCAGAAGAAAGAAGTTCAATAAGGTATTTCTCTAGGGAAAAACAAATGGGCCTAGTGATCACTTAGGGCTTAGCTGCATGGAACAGAATATTTAGAAGTTTCACAAACTGATTGGAGAATTGAGACAAATTTGTGATAGGACCACATAAAAACAAACATCAAAACCAAGACAATAAGTGCCAGAAGTCAAAATAAAGTGCTTTTGGCCTTCCCATATCTGTGGGATCCACATCTTTGGATTCAACCCACCGGGGACCGCCCCCAGAAAACATTCAGAAAAAAAATTGTGTCTGTACTGAATATACGCAGATCCACTTGGGCCATTATTTCCTAAATAATATAATATAACAACTATTAACATAGTATTTGTGTTGAATTAGGTGTTATAAGTAACCTAGAAATTATTTAAAGCCTGGGAAGGGCTGGGGGTGTAGCTCAATGGTGGAGGGCTTGCCCAGCATGGGCCAGGCCCTTGCTTCAAAACCCAGTACCAACAAAACAGAACAAAATCAGCAAAACCTATATATTGGAAAGATATGCACAGGTTATATGACAATAAGAGTTTTATATAAGAGACACAAGCTTCTACTGATTTTAGTATCCGTGGGAAAATTCTGGATCCCATCCTCTGCAGATTCTGAGGAATGATTGTGCAAGCAAGGAAACATTCACTTTACCCTACTAGGCTCAGAAGTAAATAATCAAATGGTAACAAGAAAATAAACTTTAAATACTTTTTAAAACAACTGTATTGATAATATTGAGATGACGAAGAAGGAAAAAATGGGGGGCAGGTTAATGAAGGGGTGTTAAACCACCATGGGACAGAACAGGAAGTGGCTGGGAAATAGCTTACATGAGCATACCAAGCAATAGCATTGTAAGCATACTACAGTGGTTCTCAAAGTGTAGGTGACTTCTGTGAAAGCAAGTGAGATTATTTGCCCTTTCGCTGTGTTGACTTTTATACTAGTGGTGCAAAAGCCACAATGGGTAAAGTTGCTGAGACTTTAGTAACATAGATTACGGCAATGTCATAAACCTGACTTGGACCCTCTGCTATACTCACTGCAAGAAACCAAACCCAACCGAAATAAAAAAATAGTTCCTTCGTGAAGCAATAAATATCAGTACTTTCATTAAATCTTAACCTTGAGTTCCTTTTGAAATATTCTGGGTCGCAAACTGAGAAGTAGAACAAAGCATTTCTTGTGTACATGGAAGAGCATTTGGGTGATGCTTGGTTTGAGGGTGGGACTAGCTGCTTAATGTATGAAACGATATTTTAACTTGAAAGAATGGCAGATAAGTTATGGTTACTCAGAAATGCGTACTTTGCAGACATTTTCTCAAAAATAAAGGAAGTAAGGTGGCCATTTCTAGTAAAAATAGAATATTTGTTGCCAATGGAAAATAATAGGCTTTCTAGGAAAAATTAGAAAGCTTATGGGCCGGAGATTTAGCTCAGTGGTGCTGCTGCCTGCCTTGAAAGCACAAGGTCCAGAGTTCGATCCGCGGTACAAAAAAAAAAAAAAGAAAAAAAAAGAAAGCTTATATCCCCCACAGTGAGTACAAGGCTTCCCAATACTTAAAGTCATTTGGAGAAAATAAGTGATCATAACAAATGTCATTTTTTTTTGATATTGTGTAGTAAAATATGTTACCTTTTTGAAGATCTGCATTAGACATTTATTTTCCAAATGACCAATATGGAGTGTTATCCATTTTAAATTCAAGATAGACCAATGGGTGTTGGTACAGCAGAGGACAATAGTTCATTGCTATAGTTTCAGATTTTGCATGGCAACTAACCTTTAGGAAGTTACTGCTAGCTGAATGTTGGGGTAGTATTAAGTAAGAATTGCCACAATGATCTGAAGAGGCTATTATAATATTCTTCCTGTTTCCACTGCATATGTGTGTAAGGTTGGATTTATTTCATTAACTTCAACCCAAACACAGTATAGTAAACTGAATGTAGAAGCAAATAAATATGAGAATCCAGCAGAATTCTAAGCCAGATGCTAAAGAGATTTGCAAAAAATGTAAAATAATGCTACTCTTTTCATTATATTTTTTTGCCTTGGAAAACAGCTATTCTTCATAAAGTTATTTATATTAGCATACTTATTACAATTACTTAAAAATGAATAAATATTTGAAACATTTCTGTTTTAATTTTTAATATGATAAATAATTATAACTCACTTAAACAAAACCTCTCTTGGGTTTCAATGGTTTTTATAACTGTAAAGGGGTCCTGAAAACCCAGTGTTTGAGAACCACTGCATATTATTCAGAAATTTATAGGAAAATAAACAGGAAACTGCTAAGAGAGCTGAAAATGGTCTGTCCTTTAATGCTATTTAATTTTTTGAACAATGCAGTTCTATTTATTCAATAAAACAAATATAAATGGCTGTTTCAAAACAAAGAAATACTTCCCCTCATATAACATTACAGGATTACAGGATTATTGCAATTTTTTTTTTTTTTTTGCAATTCTTTAGACAAGATTTCTCATCCTTACGAAAATGAGAGGGAATCACCTATGAATAATTGGACAGCTGGAGAAGATAAGTGGGATGATTCAGATGCCTGAACTCTGTCAGAAGAGGTTTTTATCCTCACTCAAATGGCCAGGATGGCTTCAGCCAGGCCAAAGAACAATCAGTAATAGTACCTCCGACTTTAACACCGTGAGCCTCTGAGAAATAACACGCCGGTCAGGCTGCCTGCTGAAAGGGTATTGAATTTATGCAGCTCTACTCTGAAGACTTTTGAGGTAGGAAGAAAACATGCACTCCTCCGAGTCTATCCGTGTTAGGGCACGCTTTCACAGGAGTGTCCTCACCAGCTTTGAGTTTTTAGGATGCCAAATCCTCATGACACAGAATGGCAGCAGGTGCCAGGTGTGATTCATGGGTCAGCAGAAATGAATCAATGGCCTGGGGAATGGGCAGGTCAAAAGGACAAAGACCCCACCTTTGATGCACTGGGATAGCTCACCAGATCTGTTGATTGGGCTAACTTTCCTACTTGGGAAATGAGATACGGAGAAGCCAGAGTTTTCAGATTTTAATTGGAGTCTTTGGCTGTGTATACCATTCTGCTGTTAGGTTACTGTTTCATTTAAAATATGACTTGGATAAATATGACTCACTGTTTTAGCACATTAACAACTTCTAAACGTAATTTGAATGTGTGTTCTGACTCACCAGTAATAATGCTCATTAAAAGAATGATTACTCAGAATCCTCCTTTAACCTTGCCCCAGCCTTCCAAAGTCCCTCTCTTCCATTGTTCTCTCTCCTATGACCCTGACTGTTCTCTCCCTTTGTAGAACCTATATATCATTTATAGTTATATATTTATTTGGATGCTTATTTGCCGAATGTCTCTCTCTCTGTTACAATAAACACTACAAAGGCTAACAGAGCTCTAAGTTATATTGGATTTTGTGATACCATTTGGTATTTTGTGAGTCCCCTTTGGCTGCTACTGAGTTAACATCCAGCAGCAAATTTCAGTCATGGGAGGGGGATGGTAAGAGGGAAGATAGGCCTATACTTCAAGTTTTATTAAAATTTATTGAGTTCTTCCAGGTGGAAACTTCATGGTAATTTAAGAAAAGCATAAATAAGGAATTGTCTAATATAAAGATAACAAGACCACCCCTTTCCACACAGTCAATTTTAGATATAACAGAAGAGAAGATGAATAAATGTGAAGATGAAAACAATTCCTAAAATAAATTTTTTTCCAAAAATAATTTTTTTTTTGTACTGAGGATTGAACTTGGGATCTTGCGCTTTTGAGCCAGGTGGCGGAACCACTGAGCTAAATCCCCAGACCCCCTAAAATAATTTTTAAAAAGACTATCTTACTTGGTCAGGGCTAATCAGAAACTTTCTATTGTTTCTTTTGAGGAATCTTTCTTTTTTTTTTTTTTTTAATCTCACTGTATTTATTATTATATAACTTACTTATTTATAAAATTACTGTTTATTATTGTTACTTTTCATCTTAACTAGCATATAATATGGCAGGGAGCTTTGTTTTGTTTATAAGGAATCCAAGTACCTTGACTAGTTTGTGTGGCATAGTGAGTGCTGGACAAATTGTTACTGAATGAACAAACAAATGAATTTTTTAGTTTTGTTGTCACTGAGCCTGGGTACTGGCACCTTTCTATGCTACGTATTTTAGAGTATAATTTCTTCTTTTCTCCTGTTTGCTACATTAAATCTTTCAGAATCAATTCCTCTACTTGTTCAACTGGGAGCCTTGAGGGCACTGCTGATTTTCCTCAGCTGTTTGTAAACCTTGCTTGTTAAAGGATCTTGGCTCTACGTACAGGAGGTTGCTCTCGATTGCTGCGGAGAGGCAGACTATGATTTCAGGTAGGTGTACACTGTGTACTAGCAGCTCTCTGCCCTCCTGCTATTGTTAGCTATCTGGGACACTGCTCTGCCTCTCCAGGACACATTTGCTGCTCTGGCTTCTGTGAGCTGTGCTTGGTGCTTAGCCCAAGTGGAAGAACAAGAGGTGCTGACCTGCACAGATGAATCACCTCTCTGCTTGGGACTCTCTCCTATGTATTGTGCCTAATGCCTTCAAGTCTGGAGCATGCCCAGAAGAGTTCCCAGCTCCACAGTGGTCTTCTCTGAGATATGATTTGGATTTTAGATTTCCTTGTCTATTAGTTTCCTTCTGAATAGAGGTGTATTTACTATGAAACCAATGAAAAATTAGGTTTCTGAACTGGGGATGTAGCTCAGTGGTTGAGCATTTGCTAACATGTGCAAAGCAGAGCCCTGGGTTCCATTCATGTGTATGGCTTCCTTCTAAGGCCCTATGCTCAATTGTATATTCACAATTTTGTGTTATCCTAAAAAGGCCTTTCCAAATTATATATACTAATATACTACCAGGTCCACAAAACTTGGATATGTCTCCTCCAGATGGAATTTCTACATTTTGGGAATTTCTAAGAATTTCAGATTTATAGATGGCATTTTGTTGTTTTTCAGTTAGGTTTTGGGGTGTTGGAAGGGAAGGCACATGTGATTATCTGCTATTTTGATGATTCTCTTTTCACAGTCAGATCACTTCTAATTGGCCTTCTGCACCCATCACTCTCTTAAAACTGCTCTTCATGGAGTCACTGACGGCCTCTATATCATATAATATTTTCCAGTTTTCATCCAACTTGACCTCTAATTAGCATTCAGTGTAGTTGACTACTTATTGTCTTGAAGCAACTCTTCTTCTGTACGACTGCCTCCATTCTCCTCCTGCCATTTAAGGTGCGCCTTCCTAGTACAGTTTCTTTTGGGGCAGTCTTCCTCACTGACTCAAATGTTAAATCTTGAATTTCCTTTGCAACACTGTCTAGCCAGCAGTTGATATTCAGAAAACTCAACAGCTGATTCAGAATGGATGCTCCAGACAATTAGTAAGACGAAAACCATAAGCACCCTTAAGTGTTATATCAATTGCACTGATTAAATTAATCACCCTGGGGCTATGGCAATTCTTTTCTGACAAAATAATGAAAAAGAAAATTGAGGCTGATTCCATACTCAAACAAAAATGTAAAAGTTCTAAAACCTCAGTTGCCTATGAACTAGCACAAACAATCAACAAGTGGGATCTCTTCTTATTAAAAGGCTTCTCCACAGCAAGAGAAACCACCAGCAGTGTGAAGAGACAACCCACAATGTGGGAAAAAACTTCACCTGCTCTTCCTCAGACAAAGGTCTACTATCTAGAATCTATAAAGAACTTAAAAAGATCAGACCTCCCAAATTTAGAGACCCAATCCGAAAATGGGCATCTGAAATGAACAGACATTTCTCAGACAAAGAAGTAGAAATAGCAAATAAATACATGAAAAATTGTTCAACATCACTGGTCATTCGAGAGATGCAAATGAAAACAACGCTGAGATTCCACTTCACTCCAGAAAGAATGGCTGCTATCATGAAATCAACCAATAACAAATGCTGGCGGGGCTGTGGGGAAAGAGGAACCCTGCTCCACTGCTGGTGGGAGTGTAGACTGGTGCAAGTACTGTGGAAATCAGTATGGAGCTACCTCAAAGAACTAGGACTGGAAGTCCCATTTGACCCTGCTATTCCACTGCTGGGGATCTTCCCCAAAGAATTAAAAGAATCATATCACAGTGATATATGTGCACCCATGTTCATAGCAGCACAGTTTGTGATAGCTAAAACTTGGAAACAGCCCAAATGCCCATCAACTGGAGACTGGATAAAGAAAATGTGGTTTTTTAATAAAATGGAGTACTACTCAGCCATAAAAAATGAGAAATTAGAGACATTTATAGTTAAGTGGATGCACATTGAGGTGATACTCTTAAGTGAAATAAATAGGACACACATGTATAAATACTGAATAGTTTCTCTGGTGTGAGAAACTGAAAGTGTAAATAAGGACTAAAATGTATAATAGGTCATGTGAAATAGGAAGAAAAGGGGCAAAGGGGAAGAAAGTGGGAGGGCTAGGGGAAAGGATAGAAGGGAATGGGATTAACATGAGAAAATGGAAAAATAGGAACAAAATCTTTGTAAATAGGGAGGAATGGAGGGGTTGAAGGGAGGGCTGGGCAAGGGTGAAAAATAAGAACCAAGAGAGATTATGTAAAGGTGCAAATTTCCAAGGATGAATGTCATTATATTGTATACTTAAAATGTACCAATGATTAGAATGAATAATCAATAATGCAAAATAGGAAGAAAAGGTGCAAAGGGGTAGGGGTAGTGGGAGGGGCAGGGGAAAGGAAAGAAGGGAAAGGAAAAATGCTGAGAAATGGAAAAAATGGAAATAAAGTCTTTGTAAATAGGGAGGGGTGGAGGGGGTGAAGGGAGGGCTAGGAATGGGGAAAAAATAAGAACCCAGGTGCATTATGTAAAGGTACAATTCCCAATGAGAAATGTAATTGTGTTGTATACCTACAATGTACCAATAAAAGAATTTAATAAAGTGCAAAAAAAAAAATGTAAAACTTCTAACCAAATTATTAAAACCAAATTTGGAAATACAAACAAGATAATAGATTAAAGCCAAGTTGTTGTTTATCCTGAAAATTTGAGTTTTGCTTTATATTATTTGGTTTAATATTTTTAAATATTATTCAAGTTTGGCTTACTACAACCAATATTCTTTACCATGTTAACAAAGTAAGGGGAAAAGAATGACTTCAATAAATGCAGAAAAATGTTTGGTAAAATTCAATATCCAAGCTGGTTGTGGTGGCACATGCCTGTAATCCCAGAGCTTGGGAGGCTGAGGCAAAAGGATTGTAGTGAGTTTGAGGCCAGCCTGGGCTATATAGTGAGTTCAAGGCCAGCCTGAACTACATAGTCTTAAAAACCCCAAAAGAAAAAATATCAATATTCATTCATGATTTAAAAAATCTTACTCTTCCTAGACATAGAGACTTACAACAAAATTCCATGTAATGTTGAAAAATTGAAAGCATTACTGCTAACATCAGAAATAAGACTAGAGCACCAAATATCATTTCTGATCATTATTGTAGTCGAGGACTTAGTCAGTTCAGGAAAATAGGAAAATGAAGTACAAGACAGAAGTATGGAAGGACAAGCACTCAAAAGAATTGGACTGGGGGGCTGGGGATTTAGCTCAGTGCTTTCACCGCCTGCTGTGCAAGCACAAGAACCTGAGTTCGATCCCTGGTACAAAAAAAAAAAAAAAAAATTGGACTGGGGATTTAGCTCAGCGGTTCCGCTGTCTGCCTCGAAAGCGCAAGGTCCTGAGTTTGATCCCCAGTATCAAAAAAAGTCAGAGGTAAAAGCCTTTTTCTGTGGTACTGAGAATTGAACCCAGGGTTCTGTGCATGTGCTTTACCAATGCACCAGCCCTTCCTCTTCTTCTTTCTTTTGGTACCAGGAATCGAACTCAGGACCTTGCGCTTGTGAGGCAGGAGGTGGAAACAATGAGCTAAATCCCTGGCCCCCTTCTTTTTCTTTCTTTATTTTGAAACAGGTTCTTGCTAAGCTGCCCAAGTTGTCCATGAACTTGCTATCCTCCTGCCTCAGCCTCCTGAGCAGCTGGGACATCAGGTGTGTGCCACCATTCCTGGCATTATAAAGCCTTTAGAAGACAATATATAAGAATATCTTACTGATTTTGAGGTTAGGAAGAATTTCTTAAACTAGACACAGACTATAAGAACCAAACCACAAAATCAAAATTAATTAATTTGATACTGCAGTTAAGAACATCTACTTATCAAAATATATCACAGAGAAAACAAAAAGACAAATCAAAATAGGAGAGGGTATTATCCTAAAATATATGTCACATGATTAGTATCCAGACTATTTTAAAAGTCTTACAAATCAATAAGAACAATCCAATGGAAAATATAAACATGCCTGTGATGGAAAATGAACCCTGAATACTCGATAAACATGAAAAAAGGTACAGCCTCATCAGTAACTATGGAAATGAACATTAAAACCTGATGAGATAATGCCCCATGCCCATTGTATTGGAAAAACTTAAAATATCAATATTAGCAATTATATAGAACAACCAAAACTCTTACATGATGCTGGGATGAATGTAAATTGAAACAATTTTTTGGAAAACAATTTGGTGTTATTATGAAGATGAAGTTATGCTTCTCTGCCAATATGCCTGGACATACTCACACACTAGTTCACCAGGAAAATATGTTAGAAAATTTATGTCATTAGTCATGCAAGGAATAACTTTGGAAGCAACCCAAATGTACATCTAGAATATAATAATCTAGCTATACAGTAAAAATTCTATTTAGCAATGAAAATGATTGCACTTGATTTACATGTACTTTTAAGGGGGAAAAGTGGAAGAATATAGACATTCTGATTCCATTTGGATAAACATATAAATCACATAAACTTACTAATTTTTTTAAACCCTTGAATTGTGGAAACTTTAAACCCACCTACACAAAATAGAGATACTAGTGGAATAGGGAGAGTCACTAAGCCTCAGTAAATTATCAACAGTTTGGTAAAACAGGTGGTGGCCTCGCCCCCAGGGGTCCTGATTCCTGTGGTCCAAGAGGAGGTCTCAAATTCACTTCCCCAGCATGGTCCCATGTGACACTGATGCTACTGGCCCAGGGACCCACTTTGCCTAGATCTCAGAATCTGGCCTTTACTCCCTCTCTGGACTTAACCTCAACTCTCTCCTCCTTACTCTTTATGTTTTGGCTACATCAGTTCCTAACAATTGTCTAACTCCTTCAAGGCTTTGAATTTTCCATTCCCTCAGCCTACAACCCTTTTCCCCATACCCTGCTGTGCTGAGCTAACTCATAGTCATCCTGATGTTTTGGTTTTAACATTACTGTCTAGGAAAACCTTCTCTGACCTAATTCACAATTGTAAGCATATGATTATCCCTGGAGTTTTTGTTCATTGTCTGTGTCATTTCTAGGCTTTAAACTACACAAAGGGAGAAAATTTATCCATTTTCTTTGACCTTAGAGGCTACAGTGGTATATGGCATGTGAACAGGCATCGAATATTTGTTGGCTGAATGAATGAATCTAGATATCCCCAAAAGGTAGAAGAAAAAGTCCCTAGATAGTATAATATGAATTTCTCCTGAATCACTTGAAGTATTCTTTTTCTTCATAACTATTTTGTCTCAGTTTTATTCCTTGGCATATCTCCAGAAGTAGCAATAACAAAACTCAACAACCACCACAGACGTCCATATCTATAAAAAGGTATGTGTCTTCCTTCAGGAGGTTGTGTACAAGGAAATATAGAGTCACCCAGCTGTACATTCCTGGGAAAAGAATCTGGAGTCAGGATACAAAAAGGGATCATGACCATTTGCTGCGAATTCCTGCAGACACTTTCATCTGTGGGTCAGTCATGCATAAATGCGTTTCATTACCTAAGACAGCGCCTCCCAGGAAAACTACATCCAAGATTAACAAGCTTTCAAAATCGCTCCCTTCAGTAAGACAGGATCCCATGCTACTTATTAAACAATACCTACCCAATTTACTTGGAAATCAACAATATAAGCAAAAAATTATTTTTCAACTTGATAAATGAGGGTTGCAAGAACATCGGTAAAATACTGGATTACACATGGGAGCACGTAGATAGTTGCCTAGTATTCTTATATTTTCTTGCTAAAATAGCTAAAATGTTACTTTCCTTATTGACTGTGGTGTCCCTATTTAGCAAACTGAAATGACTTATTATTTTACTATCATTTATTTATTTATTTATTTATTGGTATCGGGGATCGAACTCAGGACCTTGCACTTTTGAGGCAGGTGGCAGAACCACTGGCTAAATCCCCAGCCCTATTTTACTATTTTTTAAAAGAATCTTCTGGATCAAAATCTCTGCTCCTGGGATGGAAACACCTCAGGACTCTGAGTGGCAAGCACAAGGGCAGAGCTCCAATTTCTCTTCAGCCCATCCCTCTCAATCCCAGTAGCACTAATTTTAATCTTTAAAATATTTGTGTGTATGTGAGTGTGCATGTAATATGTATTGGTGTAATATGTGATGAGTTTTGGGGAGATAGTTTTTGCTAAAAGTAAGTTGGAAAATACTTTTCCATTCTAGCACTGGACTGAATCAACAACTAGAAATTGGTTTTAAGTGTTACCTGTATACACGGTAACTTTGCAGATATCAGGAACTAAAAGGACCTGCCCATGTCAAGAACATAGGATGACATGGTGGAATAGATAAGTTTTTTTCAGGCTAGGTCCACTCTAGATCTTCATATAAGGGTACAGAGATACTGTGTTAGACTTGCCCATGCTACTCCTCTGAATGCCCTAGCACTGGTACCCTTTCCTGCATTTCTGACTGCCTACTGGATACGCTCCCTCTGTCCTCTCAGACTTCTATCCCCACCAGCTTCCTCCATGAATTAGCCATCTCTTCCTTTTTCTCATTACTAGCCAGTGGCCTCCATCTTTCTTTCTGTTACCCAACTTCAAACTCATGAGGTAATATTTTATGGTCATCCTTTGCATCTAGTCAGTCAACAAATTCAGCTTGATTTCTTCTCTTCTATATATTGGTCACCAACATCTTTTCTTCTCTTTTCCACCACACCCATTTCAGCACCACCAGAGCATCCGATGCCTGGGATTCCTTCTACAGCTTCCTAAGTAGTCTCATGGTTCTATCCTTTTCTAATCTAACTCAGACTTCTGGAACCATTCTCTTTACATGCTTGCTTTCATCTTGCTACTTCCCTACACACAGCCTTACATGGATTCCAATTGATTTGGAAAACAAGTCTGAACATTTCTGCTTTACTTTCAAGGTTCTTCAAATAATCTGGCTTTACTCCCCTTTCCAGTTAGGTCAGCCTCCTCCCTGTCCTGTAAAAATGTTCTTACAATGCCAGCATCTGCACCTTTATATAAACATGTTGAGTTTCAGGCCAAGCCTGAAAAGACTCTTCCCTTCCTCCCACCTCTTCAGTGGTATCTCTACTATTTCCTGACCTTGTTACCCCCAACCTCAACATAGCCAAGTACTTCTGTCTTTCTGAAAACACTTGCCTCTGGGCTTTTGGTTTCTTTTTGGTTTTTTTGCTTTTGTTTCTTGAGACAGGGTTTTGCCATATCGTTCAGGCTGGCCTTGAACTCACTATGTAGCCCGGGCTGGTCTAGGACACATGGCAATCCTCCTGCCTCAGCCTTTCAAGCACTAGGATTACAGATGTGTGCCACCACACCTGGTGGTTGACAGTCTTTTATTTTCATATATATATATTTTTTTTTTTCTTTTATTTTTAATTTTATATATATGTCTTTTATTTTCATATATATATATATATATTTTAGTGCCTTCTGGCAATCATAGTTTCTGCTGAGAAATCTTTTCTTTGAGGTATTGGGAATGGAACACAGGGAGCACTGAGCTACATCTTTGTCCTTTTTAGTTTTTAGTTTTTTGAGACTGGGTTTCACTAAGTTGCCCAGGATGACCTCAAACTTGTGATCCTCCTGCCTCAGCCGTTCCAGTGGCTGGGACTACAGATGTGTGCCACCATGCCCAGCAATACTGCAGTGGTTTGATGACATGTTTGATTTCTGTCCTAGATTATGAACTGTCCTCTCAAGGTAGTTCAGATTTGTTTTTAAAACAAGGTCCCTGACCTTCAAGTAGCTCACAATTGTTTATATTCCTGATGAATCACTTTAGTCACTTAATAATATTTGTTGAATGAATAAATGAGTGAATTTCTACCTCAACCCTTTTACTCTTCAAAGTTCAACTAAAATCCTTCTATATATCTGAAGCTGCCTGAGTTCTTGTCCTCCCACATTGATAATACTTATGGTTTATATTGTATAAACATTAAGATGATTTCTTTAATTAGATTGCAAGCTCCTCGAAGGCAGAGGCACATATTTATATTGCTTCTGTCACTGTACTGACAACACTGATGAGCACAAATTAGGAACTAAGTCAATACTTGCTTTCTGATTGGAGATACATAAATTCTGTGCTTAGGAAAATAATGATAGCTAATAGCCTACCTGGAAAATTATAGTTTTCAAATTTTGTTTTGTTTTGTTTTGAGACAGCATCTTGCTATGTAGTTCAGGCTGGCCTTGAACTTGAAGAGGTCCTCCTGCCTCAGCCTCCCAAATGCTAGGATTACAGGCATGCGCCACCATGCCCGGCTGTCTGCTTTCTTTGATTTCTCAGTACCTTCTACCTCTGGTGGCTGATTCTCACACACTGGGTCTTCTCAAAACAGTTTTTTTTGGGGGGGGGTTGGTTTTAAGGGAATATATGTGCTTAGATTCCTTTTTAGTAATTTTCTTAAGAGTATACTTTGATGACAGTAGAACATAAATATTTAAAACAAACAAAATAAAAACTTAATGCCAATTTCAAAGTTGAAAGAACCTGGAAAACTTTAACTATTGAACAAGATTAGGGAGTTAGGTAAGGGTAGGGAGACTTGGGGATTTCTCAAGTTCTGTGAAACCAGATAGAAAATGCAAGCTCTCAGCTACAGATGGCAAACACTCATGTGTTTATGCTGTAAGCACTGCACATTGGCACTTCACACACACAATGTCACAGTGTCACAACTCCATTGTGCCAACACAGGTGAGCTCCCAATAACTGTCACAAACTATCAGAGCATAGCTATTCCTGCCCTAGGTTTTAGGCAAATAACTGCAGTACAGCAATATAAATATTGATTTTCTAGATTTCATAACTGCTAAAAAGTTTTTAGGATTACATTAGATGCTAACGCTAATGATAGGCCTACACAGGCCAATTTTAAAGTGTGTATTAGCAGATAATAAATCCTGCAGAAGCTTCGGCCTCTGTAACATCACAGGTTAATAGTTTCACAAATTTATAAACACTAAATTAATAGGAAACAATATTTAAAAATTCTCTAAGAGGCATTTAGTTTCTTACAGGCTTCTTCAATGAACACTGACATATTCTTCATCTGGGATGAATTATGAAGAACATTCAAGTCTTTTAGAAGAACATTCTGGTTTGGAATTAGCACCAAAACTTCTTTCTGCAGTGTGGGTGCTTTCAGACTGTGCCAAGAAAGTTGTGGGAGAGAAAGTATGTTACATCTATCCAGCTGAAGCATCTAGCAGAAACAAACCTCTTTTGCCTTTTCCTCCTCTTCCTCTATCTCATGTGCCAGAATTTCAATTTTGTTTTTTAGACTCTGAATATTCCCAGTCACTAACTCTGTAGTCTGTACTATTTTATCTATTTCTTCCTGCAATAATGCCAGACCTTCTTCATTATCTCTGTCTTGTGCTCTTTCCATTTTCAATAGACTTGTCACATTAGTTAAATATTTCAGCTTTTGGTGAGGGAGTTTCAGGGTTTCACACAGTTGTAGGAACCTTTTCTTCAGGCAGTTGAGGCGATACTGAATTTGTTCTTTTTCTTTAATTTTATTACTCAAAATTGCTATTATTACTGCTTCCATCATAGTTTGCAAATGCTCCCTCACACTCTTTGAAGGAGGTTGCCAGGTTTTTCTCTTGTTGGATGCTATCTTTATCTGCTTTAGATTAATATGATTTGTTTGTCCTTCAGAAGACATGTGCTTTGGATGATTTTTACTTCTTTTTATTGTGCTTCTAACCTCTTTCTCCGACAACTCCACTTCATCATCAATTTTTCTTTTTGAATTTTTTTTTTAATTGTTGAGACTTTTTCTTGGAAGCATTTGCTTTACCAGGCATCTTGGTCTAAATAGTGCAATTATGATGCTTTTAAAAAAAAAAAACTCGACTTGGGCGCCTGCGCAGACCCCCGCGGAGTTGCGGCGCCTCTCGCGGTCGGGGCGACGGTGCTCCTCGGCTGTGGGCAGGAGGATAGCGCAACTCCCGCCTGTGTAACATCTGAAGAGATTTGCTGGATGTGAAAAATAACTTTCCCGAACCACCTTGGTGTTGTGCTGTGTTTGTTGGGACGATGTTTGGGAGATTGAGTCTTCCGCAGTTGCTTTTTGCTGGCATCGTGGGAATTGCTGGAGGAATATGTACTTATCAACCAATATTTGAACAATATTCCAAAGACCAAAAGACGTTAAAAAAGGTGGAATTAACAGAATCAAAAGAGAAGAGAAGTTAATGCTACATGGCGTTGAATTGTAATAACTGCATAAAGTTCGATTGGACTTAATAGTCACAATAAGGAACCTAGTAAAAACAGGTATGTATTTTAAATATAAATAAATCATATATAATGATAAAAAAAAACAAAATTCGACTGATTCTTCTTGAATGTGTCTGAAAACCTCACTAAGAGGAATTTGCGCCCAAACAACCAGAACACCACAGGCACCGGAAGTCTGTTTTGTTTTTTAGACCAGTTTATGTCCAGAAACAACTGGGTGTGGGCAGGACTAACCTAAATTGTATGTGTGCTACAACTTGTGTGCTCCCTGGCTTCCTTGGACTGACCAGAGGCTGCGGGTGGCATCCGTCATGCTGCTGGAGAGACGCCTCCCGGATGGAGTCCCAGCAAGTGCCATCAGGCGTGTTCAGAGAAGGACAAATGCTCCCCTGCGTGCATCCTTCGGTTCCAGCCCATTCCCACATGTTAGGCCAACTATCTCGCTCCTGATTTAAATCTAAATGAAAGTTTTTGTTTTCCTGTTGCTTCTTTAAAAACAACAACAACAAAACAGAGGCAGTGCCCCCCACCCCCTTCTTACTCTCCCAAAGAAAGAAGACAGTCAGTGACAAATGACAGCTGCAACAGGGCAGCTTCACTCTTGGGAGAGGAGGCTGTGAGTCCTCTTGGCTTCCAGCACTCTGTATACTAGGGAAACTTCCCCAGTGTTGAGCTGCAGCACGGACCCCTGGAAGTACAGCTTTCTGTGCCAGTTTCTTTATTCATTAGTTCAACATTTCTGAGTGACCAGTATGGGCCAGAAGCTGTGCTGGGTACTAAAGATTCAAAGGCAAAAACAACACATCTCTGTCTTTAAGGAGTAACCTGACAGTGAAATCTCCATCCCATTGTATGAATAAATGTGATATGCCTTCTGTTGCTTTTTAAAAATTGTTTTTCTTTTTCTTTTTTGGGGGGGGGGAGTACTGGAGATTGAACTTGGGACCTTATGCTTTCGAGGCAGGTGGTGGAACCACTGAACTAAATACCCAGCCCTTGTTTTGTTTTTTGAAACAGAAACTTGTTATGTGGTTCAGGCTGGCCTGGAACTCAAGACAATCCTCCTGCCTCAGCATCCCGAGTACTGGCATTACAGGTGTGTATCACCATGTAGTGACTGACTCACTTCATGTTGCTTTTGAAACTAAAACACAAAATAGGACTTGGGCCAGAATCTCTTGAATTAATGTACATATATAAATAAAAATACCATTATTAATATTAATATTGTTATTGTCCTAAGTTTGACTTTTTTGTTGTTTTTTTGAGAGAGTCTTGCTATGTATTCCTGGCTGGCCTTAAACTTACTATGCAGCCCAAGCTGGCCTTGAACTTGTGGCGATCCTCCTACCTCAGCCTCCTGAGTGCTGGGATTACAGGTTTGTGCCACCATGGCTTGCTTATTGTCCTATAACATGACTATTATGTAAGAAAGAGATGAAACCCTATTTATAAACTGAGAAAAAAAAATTTTAAATGGTGACAAAGTCACATTCTAGTGGTGATTAAGTGGTTAGGAAAGCACAGTAACTCTTACGGAACTTTAAATACCAGTAATCTCTACAAAGTAGTACATACAAACCACATTATTCACATGTTATTCAATTATAATATTAGAGTTAGTAAATGTCGCTCTGGCTAAAGCTGGTTCCAGGCTTTGTGGGACTGTAAATGTGGAAAGGATCCTTAAAATGTATAAAGTAAAATTAGAACACAAAAGTAGTGTTGCCCAGGCAGTTTGGAGCCCTGAAGCTCATTTCATTGGCCTGACAGAAAAGCTGGCTCTGGAAGGTGTCTAACAGATGAACACACCCTCTATTCCTCGGTCACACTGCGGAAAGACTTGGGAATTAGGGACAAGATTGTTCATTAAGCTGATAATTGAAAGTTTAGAATAAATTTAACATGGGTAAAATGAGTCCGTAAATTGGCCTTAGCCATGCCTTCATTCATGGCAATTCTATTTCCTATTTTTATTCCATCAGCCTTCATATAGTTACTTAGCTTTCTTCAAGAGTCAAAAAATACCACAGGCATTCACTGAGTACAGATTTTAAAGACACAGTAAGTTCTTCCTAGGAAAATTTAGCATCCAAATTGAAATTTGTTGTAAGTGTAGAATTCATGCTAGATTCTAAATCCCTGGTATAATGAGTACAATGCAAAATATCTTATTAATTATTATATTAATTACATATTGAAAAATTGAAAAATTTTTATATTCTGACTCAGTAAGTATGCTATTAATCTTAGTTTTACTTAGTTCTTTTTACTTTTTAAAAATATGGCACCAACTGCTCAAAAGCACAAGGTCCTGAGTTTGATCCCTTGTACCCCAAAACAACAAGAACAACAAGAACAACAACAACAAAAATATGGTACCAGGTGTGGTGGTACACATCTGTAATCCTAGTACTCTGGGAGGCTGAGGCAGGAGGATCACAAGTTTGAGCCCAGACTGGGCAACTAAGTAACTTAATGAAACCCTGTCTCAAAATAAAAAAATAAAAGCAGGCCTGGGGATGTAGCTCAGTGTGAAGGTCCTCTGCTCACCTCCCAATACCACAAACACAAAAACAATGGCTACCAGAACATTTAAAAAAAATTTATTTTAGTCCTGGGGATTGAACTCAGGACCTCATAAATACTCTCAGCCCTAGAAAAATTTAAATTATTAAATACATAGCTAATATTATATTTTTATTGAACAGAGTGGCTTTAAACACTGGCTATTTTTCTCAAAGTGGGTATATAATTTTTGTAGTACTGGGGATTGAATCTTGCCACTGTGCTACATTGCCAGTCCTTCTCCCCCCCTTTTTTTCTTTTGAGAAAGGATCTCACCACACAGTTCAGGCTGACCTTGAACTCACTATGTAGCCCAGGCTGGCCTTGAACTCATAGCAATCCTCCTGCCTCAGCCTCTCAAGTGCTGGGATTACAGGCACTCTCTACCACACCTGTCTGGGAGTATATGTTTTGGAGCCCCATACTTAATGGTAATACTTAGGAAAGCCATGGTGGATGGAAAGCAATTGCTAAACACTACTAATGGGACATTTTTACCTTACTTGAGGTGGTGGGATTCCTACCACTATGCAATCCAACTGGACTCGGGTTCCTTCTGGAACTTCTCGGCTCCGTAACTTTTGGGTGAATCGAGGAGGCTGCCCCAGAGGTTCTTCATAGTACAGAGAGGAGGGTGAGGACCCTGGGGTGGTGTCCCCACCACCTGCCTCTTTGGTGGCCTGCTCAGCCTCGCGCCTCTTGGCTTCCTGCTGCTCAAGGGCATGGTTCACCTCGTTATCCCTGGCGTCAGCAGGGATGGGGATGGGGACAGATCTCTCCCGACTCTCTGACAGATCTGAGAAACTGGGGCTGTTCTCCTGTACAGCTCTGTTCTGAGATTCCAGTTTGCTCTTGTGGTTTTTGCAGGCACGAGGTCTGATCCTTTTGGAGCTGTGGGCCTTGAAAAGAGAAGAGAGCTCTTCTATGAAGTCGGCAGCCTTATTCAGGAATACTTTTTTGGACTGGGTGTCAGAGCTGTACTGCAGCCGTTTTGCCTGCCGGGGGCTCTCCCGAGGGCTGGGAGCACTTGGAAAGCTCTCCTCGCAGAAGTTAGGTGCCGGTTTCACCTGCTCTGAAGATAGTCGTTTCCTAGCTTGAGCTTCATCGGCCCTCTCCAAGGGGTCGTGGTTGATGGCCAGTCTTGCCAGATTGACACTTTCGTCCAGCTCTTCTTGGCTCAGAAAGGCAGACAAGTCTGGAAGGTCATCTTGGCCTCCTCCTTCAGCAGCCCCCGAGGGACTGCTGAAAAGAAAGGGAGTGGAGGAGGGCTCAGCTCGGCTCCTCTCATTGTTTCCTTGATGTCTGGTTTCGGCTAGATAGCTTTCTCTTAGCAGTTGGGATATGGAAGTAGAAGCTTCTAGGCTGTCGTCTTGCATGCTGTAACAAAATAATAATAAAGACTTTGGATTATTTCTAGGGAAAAATTAATCTGTATTTTTAAAATGTTAAAAAACTTTTTTGAGACAAGGTCTGGCTATATAGCCCAGGCTGGCCTTGAACTCCCTACATGGCCCAGGCAGGCCTTGAGCTTGCAGCAGTTCTGCTTCAGCATCTCAAGTGCTGGAATTACAGGTATGTGGCACCATGCCTGGCAATAAATCTGTATTAACTATAGCATGATAAATTCTTAAGCACTTACAGCTCAAAATACAAAATTGCCTCATTTTGACACTTTTATAAAATTTAAAGATATAACGATTACTCTCCAATTATAACATACCAACTGAGTGAAGTTTCTCTGAAATTGAATTTAAAACCTGAGCAATTCTATTTTATTAAATTCTTTAAATGCAAGTTCAGCTGTGAAAGCTATGGTATAACTACAGTGATTTATTGATACACTGTTGAGCAAGGCGGGGTAGCTTAGTGATAGAGAACTCACTTGGCATGCATGAAGCCCTGGTTTCAATCCTCAGTACCAGGAAAGAGAAAAAAAAAAGGCCTAATTTTTTTTTTTTTTTGCTAAGCCTAATTTTGCTAATTTTGATCATATCTGTAACAGCATTTTTGGTTGCAAAGTGCTTTCATTTGCAAAAAAGAGATTTGCTCTCTACCCTCTCTGCTTAAACTTGTCTGTAATAAAATTATAGAAAAATAAGAGATACCAACAACACAATCTCATCTAGCTACTCCAAATAAAGATGTGATTAGCCCATGAAAAAGGAATAATAATGGTTATGTTTTTTGACTAAGACAAGCTGTTCATATCAGTGTTGCTATTGTGCTTAAACCTGCTTTTGAAAACTATGCTGATTTGGCCTCTTGATAGAAAGTTACAAAAAAAGCTTAGAACCTCGGCTGTCTAGAATGTCTCAAAGGATGAAAGGGAGACCTGGGGGGTAGTGGAACATGATGCCCGCAGGAGACTTCCCTGAGTACCCTTTCTAATTTTTGAATTTTAAATGTATATTTCCTTTTTTAAAAAATAAGTATTTTGTAAATTCTTAAGACAACAAGAACGAAAAGGCAAATTAATTTTTGTGTAATTAATATCATACTCATTATTCATTCAAACATTTACAGGGGATGGCAAACTTGTGACTCATCATCTGTTAATTCTCCCTCTCCTTACTAGATGCAGCTCACTGATTGCCGCATTCTTGCACTGACCTTGAATTGCTTAACCCTCCATTCCTTCAGCTGCCACCAGTCAGTCACAGGTGGTAACAACGACATGGAGACTGTCTGCCACTCTTTGTTACTGTGCGAGGAAAGTAATCTAAATTTCTGCCTGCTTTAAGATTCTGTGGCAAAACCTACTTTATTCATCTCTCTTCCTTCGCACGACAGCCTAACCTATATCAAATGTAGTTTGAGTTTCCTAGAAACTCCCCTAGTTTTAAATTTCTGCAGGGCTATCCCAAACTAACCTCTCAACTGGCACAGTGCAGTCACCTTGAGAGGGCAATTAGAGATGGCTGAAAGGATCGCTTACAGCAAAATGTTTTCCCACATGTTTGTCAGGGGCTGGGATGGTCCCTGCGGGAGCCACTAATTTGGATGAAGTCTGTTGTGCTTTAAAACAGATTCACTTAAAATGCACAGGTGCTGGATGAAGTTTTATCTCCAAAGATGTTTATCATAGTATGGATTATAATATTAAAAATTGGAACTGTGTCCAATAATAAGAAATTAGCTAGTTAAATTATGATACACTCATTAACTAGTACCCAATGGCTATTTAAAATTTTGTAGAATGGCAAATAATATACAAAATCTTACATGAAAGTGTAATTGAGGGCCAGGGATTTAGCTCAGCGGTGCTGCCTCCTGCCTTACAAGCTCAAGGTCCTGAGTTCAATCCCCGGTACCAAAAAAAAAAAGTGTAATTGATATCCCAATTGAAATATGTCCTCATTTGTGCATCAACGATGTGAAAGAACTGATACATGAAATAAGGTCCAAAATGCTATTTAAGGGCTGAGTGTGGTGGCTCACACCTGTAATCCCAGCACTTGAGAGGCTGAGGCAGGAGGACTGCCGTAAGTTCAAGGTCCAGCCTGGACTACATAGTGAGACCCTGTATCAACAAAACAAAACAAAACAAAACACCCCAAAAAACCCAAAATGCTATTTAAAAGGGTAATTAATGCACTAATTTGTGTGTGTGTTTTTTTGTTTTTGGTATCAGGGATCAAACTCAGGACCTTGTGCTTTCGAGGCAGGCGAAGTGCTGCTGAGCTAAATCCCCAGCCTTTAATACACTAATTTGTTACAATTATTAGTTCACAAGTCATTATTGTACTCATTTTTAAATCAATCATTTCTTTAGCCTAATTTGAGTTTCTACATCAATTTAGATGTGGGGGTGAAAATTAAATGCCTATAAATCAGGGTGGCTTTCAGCAAGTTGCGTGTTAATGAAAATTGTATTGCAATGTGACATTGTCTTTAGTTATTTGATGATGGCTTATGTCTTGGGGCAACATAGAATAAGCGTTGGCCTTGGAACAATGCAGGTCTGATTTCAAATTCTGGCTTCATCTCTTAATAGTGGAATGACTGTGAAATTTATTTAACTTCTCCGAGCTTTGATTTCCTTGTGGATAATATCTATTTTTCAAGAGAGTAAGGATTAAAAACATCACAAAGGCAAAGACCATAAAACAGAGCCTGTTGGTAGGGCATAGTAGCTCAGGCCTAGAATCCTAGGTACTCAGAAGGCTGAGGCAGGAGGATTCTAAGTTAGAGAATAGCTGGGCAATTTAGCAAGACTGTCTCAAAATAAAAACAAATAAATGAATAAACAACAACAAATAACCAAAACCCTAGGCCTATGACTAAAATGGGTGTTCAACTAATACAATTAAAAAAACAATACTTAGGGTTGAGTTGGAGGTAGAGCACTTGTTTAGAATGCATGAGGCCCTGGGTTCAATTCCCAGCCTACAAAAAGCAAACAACAACAAAAAACCACCTAGGTGAAGGTGATGTTAATGTTAAAGAATTTTTCAAAAACTTTGTAATGGTAGAAACAGAAAAGTGAAAATTCATCATTGCTTACTACAATCTACCTTTTTTAGAGAAGCTATTTGAGGTTGTCAGTATGTGTCTTATGTTCTTATGTTTATGAGAAATTATTATGATAACAAAATTTTCAAACATTCAAAATATAGGCTACTTTAGAGTTTTGGTACCGGGGATTGAACTAGGGTCCTTGCGCTTGCGCAGCAGGCGGCGAAACCACTGAGCTAAATCCCTGGCCAAGCTTTAGAGTTTTATGACCTAACATTTTGGTGTTAGAACTGGCTCAACTCTTACTTCTGAGACTTCTAGGCTACATAAACTTGAAATTGTACAACCTCTGTGAATCCTGGTTTCCCCATCTGTCAAGCAAGATCAGTAGCCATCTCATAGGTTAAATGCTAATTACATGTGCTTGGCACTTAATAAACATTCAATAAACTTGAAGTCTTTCCCCAACTAGAATCTCAGCTCAATGAAAACAGAGTTTATTTTCTGTTCACCTTTGAATCCACAGTACCAGAATGGGTCTTGGTACACAGAAGCTGGTCAATAAATACTTATTGCATGAGAACTAGGGATGGAAATAAGTGGTAAAGGACTTATTTGCTTAGTGTGTGTGAAACCCTGGGTTTGATCCCCAGCACTCCCCGAAAAAATTATCATTAGATGAATAAATAAAAGCAAGGCTATCCATAATAACACTTGGCCTTTTTGTAGTACACATTTTATAACAAGTAGTTTTAAATGAATGCTTAAAGGAGAAAGTTTTAAATTAATGCTTGGGACTGATGCATCTTATTTCCTATTTTAGCTAATGTTTTCAGTTTAACAACTTATAGATGCATTTTCATCAGAGAACCTTCTTAAATAGAACCATTATCCTGTTTGATAGCTGAAGATAATTGAGATTCAAGTACATTAAGTGACTTTCTCAAGGTAAAGTTTATTGAACTTTAAAGACATCAGTGTTAAGAAGAAAACTAAACTAGGATAAGGGACTGGAGAATGGTGGTGAGAAGGAAGGAAGGTGTGCTCTCTTAGCTAGGACGGTGAAGCAAAGCTTCTAATGTGGCGAAGTGAGCCATGTGAACAAGTAGGGGGAGGAATGTTCCTATTCGAGGAAGAAATTTCAAGGCCTTGAAGAAATGAGTGTTTTGTGTGTTTGCGTCAAGCCCAGGGTGTCTGGTCTGAAATAGAAAAGTGGAAGGAAATGATGCCAGCACTGTAGAAGGCCAGATCATATTAGGCCTTGTAGATCATGGGAAGGACTTCGAATGTTACCAAACTTGTGATTGGGAAACCTGTTTAAGGTTTTGAGAAATAGATGGCATGGTTTTGAAAAAGTAAATCACGGCTGCTATGTAGAAGAACCAAGCAGAAAGGGGCGAGTGTGGAAGAGAGTGAATCACTTAGGAAGCCATCGCGATGTGCTTGGTGGTGTGGGCCAGTGGGTGATAGCAATGGGAGGCAGGGAGAAAGATATATTGAGATATTTTCTGAGAGTGGAGCCAAATAATTTGTCAATAGATTGAAAGTGGGATATGAGAGGAAGCAGAGTTGAGAGCGACTCCAACAGTCATGGCCTGAGCAGCTGTGTGACTGGACTCTGCGATGAGGCCGGAGCCAAGTTCAGGAAGTGAGGCCCTGTGCTCATAGATGTTTCACCTGGGGCTTTCACAGTGACATCTGACCTTGTTCCTGCATTTCTGTCTCTTATAAAATTGAAATGTAGATTTTATGCCACTTTTTTTTTTTTTTTTTGTACTGGGGATTGAAACCACTTTCAAAAAAGAATATTTGCCTTTGAGAACAAATCATGGTATTGGTGATGTGGTACCAGCTTGGCAATAAAGCAATTAATGTGTTATTATTCATCAACACAGACTTCAGTAAATCATGTAAACCAACTTGGCCACACAGAGAACTTATTTACTTTCTTGACTCTCTCCATTTTTTTTCCCCTAGGATTTTTCCTGAAGAGAGTATCTGCCCTAAGAACCTGGTTTTGGTTTTTGTTTGCTTGTTTTCATAAAAACAAACCTTGATGTTAAAACTTTTGGACATATTTCTCAACTTATGTCAACTCAGCACTACACATTTTTTGGGCTCTAGTAAGACTTTTGTTGGAAGTATCATATGGGATAAACTCATCTTCCATTTATAATATGACTATTTAAACTGGGGGATTGGCTGGAGAGAATTGGCAAAACTTGCTATGAAGTAACTTGAATTCAAACATAAATTCTGAAATTTTCTGACTGTGAAGTATGATTAGATATTTATTATTATTATTTTTTATTATCATCATCATCATCATTATTGTGCTGAGGACTGAACTCAGGACTTTGCACATGCTAAGTTTGTAAAATATCATTAGATATTTAAATGGGAAAAAACCCCTGGAGGTAGGGATGTGGAAATGTTGGTTAAAGAGTGCAAAGTTTCAATTAGAAGGAATAAGTGCTGGAGATCTATGGTACAGCATAGTGACTACAGCTAATAATAATGGAAGGCGTACTTGAAAACTGCTAAAAGTAGATTTTAAATGTTCTTATCACAAATAATGAATCTTTTAATTAGCTTGATTTGATTATTGCATACGTACACATATATCAAACATGTACACCATATATATACATACATATACCATACATACATACACACATACATATATATACATATATACACACACACATATACCATACATACAATTTTTATTTGTCAATTAAATTTTAAGCCAAAAAAGAAATATTTTTATACTTGTGTCTTTAAACATTGCTTTACATTCATTATATACATAAACAAACAAACTCCCACAAAATCCAAATCTAGTTTCTAAGGCAAAACAAAAATAGCCTATATTTAAAAATGATTTGTGAAGGGAGCCAGAACGGAAAAGAGCTTGTCTAACTAGTTCAAACCTGGGATAAGCAGAACTACCCTGCTTACTTCATAGGCTTGTTTGTGAAAGCACTTTTAAAAGGTAAAGCACTATGCAAATTTAAGATAATCCTTTTCTGTTGTTGTGTGATTTCTATGGCTAGAAATTTCTTTAAGGGAATAATAAAAAACTATTCAACTTTGCTCCTTCTCTTTGATGCTGGTATTGATCTGTTTGTTTTGTTTTCTGTGTTCCATGATGTCTCACAAGGCCAGCATTTAAGTCAGTTCTGGGGAAACTCTTGCTGGGCTGAGGACCAAATCTCAGTTCATAGGAAGCAGTTTTGGAGAGTTGTGTAACAGATCATCCAAAAATGTGTCTGCAGCTGGGATGTCCTTTGTACACTATTATGACGTCCATCTCTTCACTGTGATGGTGATTGTTTTAGTTTTATTTGTAGTCTATTTTTGGTGTGAATGGCATTAGTAATTTAATAATTTAGTATATGCTGTGTTACCAGAGTCAGAGCTTGATGTATGTGGAAATGCTACGCTAATAATGATATAGAAATAATGTAAGACACATTCTCTTGAAGGTCTTTCAGTCTGAAGGAAAAACAGCAAAGATGAATACAGACAGATGAATTCATTAGAAGTGTGTGGTAAAATAAAGCGGCAGCGGCCAGGTGACACATAGGAGAATCAGTTCACTAGAGACCTTCCCTAAAGGGCAGAGGTTAAAGAAATAAACAGACTTTTTAGAAAATAGGCCAAAGGTGAGTAGGCCATTCTTGCTGTTTTAATCAAGCTGGTAAAGGTGAAAAGGTAAGAAAGAAATTAAAGATTTTATTTAAGTGGGAGAAAAGAAGATTGGCTACTATGAAATATGGTGTGCATGGGGCTTGAGGTTGGTTTTTGTTTGTTTTTTCCAGTACTGGGAATAACACACAGGGTCTTGTGCATGGCAGACAAGCTTGATCACTGAGGTATACTTCCAGCTTTAGTGTGCATGTTTTTATATACAGAAGGGGCTAAACATGTAGGAAAGCCCTGGTGGAAAAGATACTAATCCAGAGCCCAAAGTTGCTATTGAATCTTAATTAAAAGTAAGTAATTAGTATAAGTAAATCCTAGGGCAATAGGAAAGCTAATGGAAGGCAAGCAAAATGATTTCAGGAATCTAGGATCAAAATGGGGTTTGTAGGTGGAGGGATAGCTCAGTGGTTCCCATCACCAGCACCCTCTAAAAAAACAGGAAAAAAAGTAGCGGAGGTTGGTAGTGGTCACAAAGTAGCGGGGGTTGGTAGTGGTCACAAGAGGGATAGGCATGGATGTGTTACAGCTCTGTAAAGATCTCACCTTTCATGAAGAACTGAGCTTCAGTTCAGTTCAGTTTCTCACTACAGTTTCTCTGTAGGTAACCCAAAATGGGAAAGTTTTGTAAAATCTCATTAACTCGAAGATTTATTTTTTTAAAATAAGAAAAAGAATGTAATGCTTTCATCCTTCTTTCAGCCTCTTATTTGCCAATTTTTAATTTTAGGTAGTTGAGGATTAATAAAAGATAATTTCCCGGTTTAAACTGACATATGTTTGCTAGATTGAGAGAGGAAGGGTCCTCCAGATAAGCCTGGGATTGAAAGAGCTCGTCCTAGTGCAGGTGCTCAGTTGGAAGGCTTTGCACGTGCTTCCTCCAGTGTGGCTTGTGCAGAGCTGGTCAAAGTGACTCTGCATGTGCGTGAGCTCTGAGGGCCCTCGTGATTGCAGGTAAGGAGTTATACCAGCTTTTGTCTCCACCAAAAATATATCTACTTGAAATATATTTCAAAACAAACCATTCTGTCTGTATTAGGTTGTTTCCTTTAAGCAGATATGCAATGCTGTAGTTGTTTCTAAAGCACTTTGAGCTAGGTGTGCTGGTGCATGCCTGTAATCCCAGCACTCAGGAGGCTGAGGCAGGAGGTTTGCCATGAGTTCCAGGCAAGGCTTGGCTACATAACAAGTTCAAGGCCAGCCTGAACTAGAGAGTGAGATCCTGTCTCAAAAAAACCCCAAAAACCAAAAACCCCAAGCAACCAACAACAACAACAAAAGCATTTTGTCAACTATGAAGCACCTTAGAAATTTATAACAATATTTCTTGGTGCTTGATTACTTTTCACCTCGTAGGAAAGGGGAAACGATGTTAAGAAAACCCTTTTTTTCTATCTTGTCATATGCAATAGCACCATGAGACTGGCAATGCCTTTGCCAAATATCAGTGTGAATGAAGGAAATTATTTATTCTGAGGTTAGCAGGACCATTTTCTTATATTATCAGATTAGTGAACTGAGTCTGTTATTTCTATTGTGGACAGGAATTAGCTGTTGAAAAATTGAGCTGTCATCTGTCCATAAATCAACATTATCTGATTAAAGCCTTTTCAAAATAGAACCTGCTTTACCTGCCATCCCACTTCTTCAAAAGTAAATTTGCAGAAACTATCTCGATAAATTCCAAAACCAGTATGGATTAAATAGTCATTAAATGTCTTGTATTCATAAATTGCAACTCTTAGCCTGTTCCACTGAGTGATTGTAAGCTCATTGTAATAGAAACACGTAACAGGGTCTATATTATAAATGACAGTTGTGTGGAAGACTGAGGTTTTCAAATTATTGTGCGTTCCAGTGGCATTAGCCATATACTATAAGTAGGGATAGAGACAACCTTCCAGAATTTGGATAGTGTCCAGCTGTTTGTTTCATAATCCATTATTATAAGATTTGTAATGCCTATAATTTGATCTCTCAACACTTCTGCAAGTATACTATATATTTCAGATTTCCCAACTAGTATATCTTAATTTTTGTTTCAAAAATGTTTATTATAGCTATAAGTGTAGACATTCTTGATTTCTTAGATTTTATGTGGACTTGAGTTATTATTAAGGAGAAACTATAAAGTTACCCTAAAGTTTTAATTTAGAACCTGTAGAATTCATTTCATTATTACTAAAGTAAAAATAATTACTCATCTTTGTAATGTTTTTGGAAAGAAAACTAGATAGCTGATTTATCTTTTAACTGGGTAATGCTAATATCTTTGATAACTATGTAAAAGTCATTGATAAGGTAATACAAATTCTTAACACCATTATTATAATGTTCATATTTTGGAACTGGAAATACAGAGTAATCCACCTTTTTCATTGCTTATACAGTTTAAAAAATATTATTCAAGTTGTGCATCTAATTACTGCTAATAGTGCAATGTACCAGGCCAAACATTTGCCACTGACTGTCAAGTGTCTTTCTGATGCAGCTGGAGAAGGAGAGACAGAGAGAGAGAGAGAGAGAGAGAAAGGAGAAAGAAAGAGCAATGTCCCTTGAGCAAGACTTTCTGCAGCTGTTGTGTACATTAATCCAGGGAGCAGATCTCCCAGTACTAAATATAGCAGGCATATCCTTTTACATGATAAAAAAGTTTTTAAATGAAACTCTTTAACTATGGAGTCACATTATTTTAGATTTGATTTCCTTTAAAAAGGAAATAGGCATTGCATATATAGTCTCTCTATAAAAACATTATTTTAATAAGTGAACGTGTGAAAAATGCCAATGATATTTGGGATACATCACAACTTCCCTAGGCTATTTCTGTGAATCTCATCAATCCCCTCCAAAAGCTTTCCACGTAGAAAGCTTTATTTTTCATTTAATTGTGGGTCCCATCATCCATAATTAGAAAGTTATCCTAGGTTTCACTCTAAGTAACAATAATTAGCTCTCTGAAATAGCTCTTTTCCCATTGTCAGTGGCCTGTTATCGAAACACACTTGTGCACTTAAATCTGGAAATTACCTTTCTTTTTATAGTTGACCCAGATGAGGATGTTCAACCCAGGCACTCCACTGTGATGATAATTATCCAAGGAGAACTTTCAGATGAAAGCACAGGAGAAAAGGAAAATTCTTCACGCCCTTAGAAGTAGAGAGCAGCCGTCCATAGAGAGTGAGGAGTTAACCTTAGCTTTAGTGAAGATGGCTGTAAGAAGCTGGACAACCTGTCAGCACCGGAGCCAGAGCATTTGTCAGCTCACAGGTCCCAAGTTATTTTGAGCTGTATAAACCATGTGCTTGTGAAACATTCCACCTGATTGGATGGAGAACACTGAGCAAAGGGATTCCATAGCAGGACGGCACCTATTCAGAGTGGGGGGGTCAGTCATTTTTCCTACCTATAGAATTTCACTTTATAGCTGGAGGGCCAAGGACACATTATATCACATTCCATCTGTCAAAGAAAATAGTATGTTTTAAAAAATGTACCAAAATTATTAATTTTTAAGATCCTTTATTTTGATCAATGGGAAATTTATTCTTGTTTAATCACTGAGGAGATGTGGCCATGAAAAACCAGTATGAAGCTGAGGTCTAACATTTTTAAAGCTGAGGGTTTTTAGAAGTGTTCATTCAAAGGCAAAGCAAAAGTAGAGAAGATAACTAATGTTAACAGTTAATTAGAGATCACAGAGAAAAAAGGATAGGAAAAAATCATTGGCATGAAGATAAATTCAGGAACAAATTAGTTTGAACAAACTTCAGAAAAAAAAATTGGATGTTGATTAAAAATCAAGATACATTAATCAAGATATATATAAAATCAAGATATATATTATATAGAACTCTTACTCATGCGTTGCTACCTGGATATAACTTTTTGTGTATTATTTTGAAAAAGTCAATATTAGATGTTTTATTTCACAAGCACTACCAATCAGTAAGAAAAAGGATCCTTAATAGACCAATATCTGCTCAAATACTTACTTTGGTTTTTTGTCTGTTTGTTTTTTGTTTTTTGAGAGAGGGTCTCATCTTGAATTCGTGGTGATCCTCTTGCCTCAACCTCCTGAGTGCTGGGATTACAGGCATGCACCATTACCATGCCTGGTTCAAATACTTACTTTGAAAAGTTTATAGTTCCTTTGATATTAATTTCATACATTTTTGGAATATGAATTTTTTTGTTTTTTGGGGCAGGGTCTCCCTTTGTAGTTCAGGCTGGCCCTGAACTCACTGTGTAGCCCAGGCTGGCTTCAAACTCATGGCGATCCTCCTGCCTCAGCCTCCCGAGTGCTGGGATTACAGGCATGTGCCATCATGCCCAGCTTGAAATATTAATTTGAAAAAAAGAATTTAGTCCCACTGATTAATACAGACTAAGTGATGTTATAATATTATCAATCTTGTTTGAAACTTGGGTTTTAAAAATTCAGACTTAAAAGCCAGTGATTATGGTTGCTATTATTATTATTTTGCAATACTGGGAATTAAACCCAGGGCTTTGTGTATGCTAGGCAAGCACTCTGCTACTGAGCTGCATCCCCAGACTGCCAGTGATTATTTTTTAAAAGAATTACTTAGATCTTTTTAGCATGAAGTACATTGGTTTTAATCTAGCTTTATAATTAAATCACATACTTGCTTATAGAGTTTCTTCCTATTCATTAATTCAACAAGTATTTACTTGATGCCTACTATGTACCAGGTACTGATACTGGATATAAAGTAATGCAAACAAAAATAAAAACAAAAACAAAAACACAAGTTTTCTCAACTTTAAAGAATTTGCTAAGCCATCTTTGTCTTCAAATTATTCATAATATACTGAATAGAGGTAAAATATCTTTATTGTGATCACATCGGAGGTTTCACTACACCTTTGCTATAAGCTTTTACACTTACACAGGTGAAAAAAAAACAATGAAAAAAGAGAACTGGGTAAAACTTTTAAATAATTCAGGTGAAAAGAACTATGACTACCTGGACATGCTGTACATCTATAATCCCAGCACAAGAGCAGCTGAGGCAGGAGGATGGAAGCAAAAAACAAAAACAAAACAAAACAAAAACAATTATGAAAGAAGGAAAAAGATATGAGGAGGAGCTGAATTATAGGGACAGGTTATTCTCATTACCAAAATAATTTATATCTTCAACATACAGGTTCAGTTGCTGTCTTACTTAATCCTGTGCTGATATGAATGTCCAACTACTTAATTTTGTTCCTGTACTTTCTTTTTTTTTTTTGGTACTAGGGATCAAACTCGGGACCTTGCACTTGTGTAGCAGGCACTGGAACCACTGAGCTAAATCCCCGGCGTGTACTTTCTACTTATATGTATTCTCTGATATTTTTTTTTAATTTAAAGAGAAGGTCTTGGGCTGGGGGGAAGCCCAGTGATATAGTGCTTGTCTGGCATGTGCAAGACCCTGGGTCCAATGCTTAGAATGAATACATAGATACATACATACATACATACGTACATGACCTTCCTTCACTATTCCACTCAAATCTTAAGCCATAATCAGTGTCAGTGTTGAAAGATCCTTGGGAACATGGAAAAACAGAACTTCTATTTCAAGTAGCTAATAGGACTGCTACAAATTGATTTTTTATTTTATTTATTTATTTGGTACCAGGGATCAAACTCGGGTCCTTGCGCTTGCACAGCAGGCGGTGAAACCACTGAGCTGAATCCCTGGCCCTAAAAATTGATTTTTAAAAAGGGAAGCACTTACATGCACCATAAGATAATGCATTTTTACGTCCCTATATGTTGCCATGGCAACTCTGGTATCCTGCCTTTTACTCAGGTATAAAACATTGAGATTAAAGGAGACCCATACCAAAACAGGTAGAACAAGAAGGATAAATTTGAGTCATTTATAGGAAAATGGATGCACCTTGAGACCATAATGGTAAGTGAAATAACTCAGACACAGAAAGTTAAATATCACATGGTTTCTCTTATATGAAAAGCCCAAAATATAAATAAAGAGCAAAATAAAAGACAGATGATGAGAAACAGGGAGGTAGACTGTGTGGTGACAGGAAGGGGAAGAGGGGATGGGGAGAGATGGGCAGGTGGAAGAGGAAGGGGAAGTAAAAAGACTCAAGATGCATGTATATGGACGATTTCCCTGAGCTGAACATAATGATTATACATTGCAAACATATACTGATAACAAAAATAAAGTAAAATAAAAAGAAAAGAGTTGGTTGGGCAGTAGGAATACTGATATTTTGATATCAAGTATTAAAATGGGCTTAAAATGTGAAAGAAGAATTACAGAAGAAAACAGCCAAGGAAATTCTGACTTCTCTTTTCATTTTTACTACAGCATTTTAAAACACAAATAGCATACAACATTTTTTGAGATCTTTACCAAAAAAGCTACATGCAAATATTTAAAATAAGTATTTTTCAGAAATTATGGGCACCTTGCTTACAATACATCCAACTCATGCTCTAGATTTTACTTTTTAAAGATAGTTTCTGCTCCTATATAAGCCAGTCCCTACCTTTCTTATCATCATAATAATTATATAAATATTATATCATAAACCTACTAGTTCAGAATTTTCTAGAGTTTATTGGTACAAAGAATAATCTTTAAAACTTTTAAAGGCCCAACATAGTTAAAAACAGGCTTCATTAGAGACAAGCAAACACAGTTATATGTCTTAAGCCTTCCCCATAAAGCTGAGTGACCCATCTACCACATGTGTTTATTATGGTTTGAACATGATCCTGTGTTTGCCTTCAGCTGTTTTCTTAATCAGTCACTCAGCTACTGAAACAATTTACTCACGTTGGGATGATCCACAGGAATGCCAAGGAATCTCGAAAATCTATAGCAGAGGAAGTCTTCACTTGGCAGATAAACACGAGAGAATTTCTGTGCTGGTAGATTCGTATAAAATTTTTGTAATTGCTGTATTTTCCATATTGTCATAGGCTTCAATTCTCTAAAAGAAATTGCTCGCGTATACCAAAGTTTCGGTAAGTTTTGCTTGAAGTACTGGTACAGAGATTTATTTTCAGGTATCCTCCCCCAGTGTCAGACGAAAAAACAAAACCAAATCTCTGAGTCTTACTTTGAAGGCTAAGACATGTATTTTCTAACCTTTTGTAAAGAGAAAAAAAAAATTCTCACCAGAGTCATCTACAGCAGCAGATAAGATCACAGAGGGCTTTATACAAACCCCATGATATAATCGAGACAGTGACAACCTTAAGAAATTTCCTTTTCACCTAAACAGTCTTGAAAATGCTTGCCTGAGAAAACTAAAGACATTTAAAAAGTATAAGTTCAAAACCTACTTAGTTTTTAAAATGAAAAACATTAAAAAACCAAAAAACCTAAACAGAACACCAGTGTAAAAACATGATCCTGAAAGGTAAAATTGTAATTACCTGTCTCTGGAGAGGCACCATTCCTATGTGAATCAACCAGGATCACCTAAAGTTCAAGTCTCACTGACTAACTTGTGTCAGCCACAAAAGTAGCACGAAGGAAATGTGATCCTGCCCCACCAGAGTAATGAAGGGTATTTACAGGGTTCCGTTGCAGATCCAGGGACAGTCGTTTAGAACAGATTGCTCTTTCAGATCCACTTTAATAACTCAGTCTGTATGATGTTCTTAGCCTGGAGGGACGATGGGGGTGGATAATAACTAAGATGACTAAGGAAACAGGCTTTCTCATCTCGTAGACTCAATGAAATGGATAATAAATTCTAAAGAGTGAAATGTAGGGAACACACCAGATATCTGTGTATGGAGGTGTGAGTGCCTTTATCTAGTACACAATGAGACTATGGTTGATGCATTTAATAAAGCACATGTGGGAAAACAATTATAACACTTCATTCTTGTTCTCCCAGGTTAGGGTAATTACTGTGTAGTTTCTGTTAAAACACAATAAGGCTTTTTTTATATAATAAAAATCAAAGTTTACTCTTTTAAAAAAAGTATTATTTCCATGATGAAAATCTGTTCCCAGAACTTTTAAAAAGAGCATTATATGTTGTAGCTCAGAGGTAGAGCTCAAGCTTATGATGGGGAGGCGGGGAGCAGGCAGGCAGGTTTAATCCTCAGCACCAAAGGAAAAAATAAATTTTAAAAAAGGAGCATCCTGTGACTAAGTAACTAAAGAAATCAAAAACAATATCAGTTTGTATAATGTATATAATCTTGAAGGTATACAGTTGATACCCACTTTTCACACTAATATAATGATTATATTATATCATCTTGAAAGTAATAAGTTAGCATTCCACAGCTATGTGCTAGGTATTACACTAAGCTCTTTATGTACATTGTGCTTTATTTGATGTATTATTCATTCAACAATCCATGAAATAGGTACTGTTATAATTCTCATTTTACGTATGAGAATCTGGGACTTTGAATGAAGTTAAAAACTTGCTGAAGTTTACAGAAGGAAGTGGCTGAGTTAGAATTAAACCCAAGGCTAAGACTGTGCTCATAACCATTGCAAACATTTAAATAGTCACATTTCCAATGTATTTTTGAAAAAAAATGAAGGGTAAAAATGAATATAAAGGATAGTCTCTCTTTTAGTAAGTACTGCATTCAAAAGGAATGCTATGTGGGACTTTAGGTTTTTAATGTTATTGATTGAAACCAAAACCTTGAAATTCTTTGATATGACTAAACAACAACAACAAAACAAAAGAAAAACTCCAAAAAGTGTGTGTGTGTGGGGGGAACAAATGCTTTCAAATACTCCCCATGTGCGATATTTTAGCCTAGAACATGACTTGATATGCAGACAAGCACTTGGCACTTGTGCTCAGTGGTACACACTAGAAGGCAGTCAGAATGCTTTCACGGACTAATTTTGGTTTCTCTTTATTATAGGCATTGTGCTGAAATAATTTAAGAACTTCGTTTATTTGAAACTAAAATTGAATGACATTTTTGAGCACATCAACATGGGTCCATAACTTTTTTTCGCAAACCAGGGGTAGGAAAATGAGTTTGAATTCTCCCTTCAGAGCATTGGCACGGGATGTGCCAAGGTGCCAGGCCCTAGCTGAGTCTTCTCAGATTCTATTTGGGGCTGCACGGACATCTCAGCTAAAAGCAAAGTTCAGTCTTCTTACTCCTGACTCCAGTAATCACTCTCACACCGATGATGTGAGGGAAAGGAAATGGCAACTAACATTTCTTCAGGTGCCTGCTAGGCTGGGGAGCAGCCTGTGTGTCTCTCATTTGATTCCCAGCAACTTTGGGAATCACAGTGCAGGACACAGGGAAGAAATGGAGTTTAGAGAACTACAGCTTTCCCAAAGCTTCCCCTCCAGTAGGCTGCGTGGTTGGGTAGATTCAAACACAGGTCTTTTAGCTGAGAATTTATTCTCTTTTCACTGCCTTCTCATGAAGAGTACTTATTCAAGTTAGTGCAAAAATCAGAAATAAGCTGGGCATAGTGACCCATGCCTATATTCCTGTCACTCTGGGAGCCTGAGGCAGGAGAACGGTAAGTTCAAGTCCTACCTAGGGAACTTGGTGACTTAATCTCAAAACATACAAAAAGGATTGGAAATATAATGCAATGCAAAGCCCCTGGGTTTAATCCTCAGTACAGAGGAAAAAAAAAATCCAAGTTCAGAAATAATCCAAAGGAGACAATTCATCTCAATATTCATATGTCTTGATGGGCCAAAAGGTTGTTAAAAGCTGGGAACGGTGGCACACCTCTGTGATCCCAGTATTCTGGGAAGCAAGAGGATTGCAAGTTTGTGCCCAATCTGGGTTGTTTAACAATTTAGGAAGACCCTGTCTCAAAAGTAGTAAATAAACAAGGGCTGGGGATGTAGCTCAGTGTGAAGGGCTTCAGTTCAATCCCCAGGATTGGAAAAATAAACATGAAAGCTATTATGATTGGTTTGGTTATTGCTTTGGTTTTACGGTCTTGGCATCTATTTGACAGGAAGAAGAGGACACTAGAAACATAGCATATAACCAAGGTTAGGGCCATTTGCACAAAGACTCAAAATTAGAACTGGAATAGCAAGGGCTAATAAACGTTTGTGTGTGTGGTGGTGCATGCCTGTAATCCCAGCACTTGAGAGGCTGAGGTGGGAGGATCGCTTCGAGTTAGAGGCCAGCCTGGGCTACATAGTAAGTTCAAGCCCAGCCCGAACTGCATAGCAAGACCCTTTCTCAAAAAAAAAAAAAAAAAAAGTAAGTTATCATTTTGCCACAACTAATTTATCATGAAATTAGTAAATGCCAAACGGGATGAACTTGTTGCAAAGAGGGAAGAGTAGAGAGTAAGAGCTTGGAGAACATAAACCGTGGAAGATCCAAAAGGAATTTGTATTTTACATGCCTATCCAAGTTCACATCGTTACTTGCACATGGATCTATCTACTTAGTGTTTTCTTGATTTAGCAAACTTCCTATCAAATAAAAGTCACATAGCTTAATGCAGGAAGACCCACAAAATCTTTTGATTTTGCTTTTTGATCCATTCTGGTCATTTCCAAATTGCTCTTGATTCCATGTGGGGAATAGACTCTTCAAAGTCTCGTCTAAACAATGTCTCCTGGTCCAAGGTAATTATTGTGTGTGGCAATGCCTTAGAGCTCCTTTTCTTTCATCTTGTAGCTTAGGCAGTAAGCTTTAATTCAAAATGTAGGTGATAGTGTCAGAAAAATTTACCACAGTGTAAACTGAGCCAGGGATAAATGCTGTATATTATACATACTCCACTGACCTTGGGTCCTGGGGATCAAACCCAGGACCTTCATGCTGTGCTATATCCCCAGCACTTGTTTTTTTTATTTTTATTTTTAAGATAGAGTCTCTCTAAGTTGTTAAATTGCCCAGGCTGGGGTTGAATTTGCAGTCTTCCTGTCTCAGCCTGCCAGAGTGCTGAGATTACAGGCATGTGTTACCAGACCTGGTTTATTTTGCCAATCTTAATCAAGAATAAGAAAAGAACATGAAACCCATCATACTGTAACTGACAAGTGTGTACAATTATTGTGTGTCAATTTAAAAAAATTTTAAAAAAAATTAAAAATCTTGATATAATTAGAAATGTGGGGCTGGGGATTTAGCTCAGTGGTTCCAGTGCCTGCCTCGCAAGTGTGATGTTCTGAGTTCAATCTCTGGTACCAAAAAAAACAAAAAAGAAAAGAAAAGAAAGAAAAGAAATGTGATCATTCTGATCCTATGAAATATAAACATTGGTTACTCTTCTACACAAATCCTTGTCTCCAAACAAAAAGTTCTACCAATATTTCCTTGCCTATCTTCCCCCTGCACGTTTGTTTGTTCACCTTTTCTTTCACTTATGTAATTAAACAACTAGTGGTTGCAACATTTCATATATTACTAAATTTGACTAACTTTTCATTTACGTGTTTATCTGTTTCATTTATGTGTTTATCTGCCCAACTAGATAAACTCCTTGAGAATCAGAGCCTTAAAAAGTTTTAGGCATGCAGTTCTAATCTCAAGGCATGTCACAAAGTTGGTATGTCATAGGTATTTGTCTACGACAAATGACATATATATTGTTAAGCTGTCCTAAGCTTTTCTCTCAATTCAACCCATGTTTAGTTAACATTTACTATTTGTCAGGAGAGATCAAATGGCTGAAAATCTCAGCAACATTAATTGGTTAAATTGTCCTTACCGGTTATGATACTTCACAGAGAAATACTACTGAGAAGTAAAAGCTGGGCATGGTCACACACACCCGTAATCCTAGCTTTAGGAAGGCTACCGCAGGAGGATTGTGAGTTTGAACCCAGGCTGGGTTACAAAGTAAGTTCAAGGCCACCCTGGACTACATAGTGAGATCTTGCCTCAAAAAAACCAAACCAGACAAAACAAACAAACAAATAAAAAGCAAAACCAACCGAACAGAAAACCCTCAAATGAAGAAGGGAACTAAAAATAATTAGATGGCCTCTGTGCACCAGGCTCAGCACAGCGAGGAACTATACCTGCTTTTGTCTCAATGGATGCTTACAATTCCTGAGATGATGAGGAAGAAGGATGTTTGTTTTCAGAAAAGGCTTGGTACTGTTTACAATGCCCTGTTGCACAAGGGCTCTGCCAAAGGTGCTTTCATACCTCACACCCTCCTGATCGGGCTTTCTACTTCTTTTCCTACCTGCCTTTCTACAACCTTTGTTTTATACCCGCTCCTTGCTTTCTGTCCACCCTATAAAGATCAGATTTTTTGTTTTTTTGTTTCCATTGCTGCTTCTCTTGAGCCTTGTACTTCCTGACGTTCATCGCCATAGCTGAGGGGGAGCTCTTTCCATTCTCATGCCCTGGTTTTGGAGGTTCCCAGCTTAAGACACCAATTAAACTTTCTGTTTGTCCAGAAATAAAGAGTATGTACTTAAAAGTAATTTCAATTAACATTTCAACTCTTTGTGACCAAGAGCAAATTGGGCTTCTTTCCTAAAAAGCAGACAATGAATTATTTAGCTTTCTGAGTGATATCAGCTGACCCCAGCGCAGTGTCCACATCAACCAAGTTCCTCACTCCCTCCCAACTCAGTACTGGGAATTGAACCCAGGGCCTTTGCA